GATTTAAATCATATCAAAGACGGAGGTTGTGCGCCGTGGCGTTCCTCCCAACCCCCACGCAGCGCAGCGTGAAATTGATAAACAGATTTCGGAATGGTTAGAGAAACAAAGGAGCTTTTATCCATTTTTGGAACAATTCCACTTTTTGTTTGATGGGCATCGAAACATGCTTTCCCTTTGTAGATCATTTGGCAGCTCCAGCATCGGAAATTCTATTCGACATAATCGAAACATGCTTTCCCTTTGTAGATCATTTGGCAGCTCCAGCATCGGAAATTCTATTCGACATAATCGAAACATGCTTTCCCTTTGTAGATCATTTGGCAGCTCCAGCATCGGAAATTCTATTCGACATAATCGAAAGTTCAAGCTTAAGTTTATAAAATTTCTTTAACAGTCTGCAAAAAATAATAAGCCGGATCCAATTCGAAGATTAAAGAACAACGCAATCTACAACATTAACTGAAATAGATAATTTTAGCTTAGCTTATATCGTCTGTTATACATTAAACGCGCATGCGTAAACGTATTATGCGCATGCATGAACGTATCACGCGTTGACGCATGCGCAGAAAGCTTGTAGCTTTGAGGTCCGGATTAACGACGTTTGATTGTATTTGAATGTTTTACTTCTAATACTAGAATTATTTTCTGAACATATTTATCTTCCCCTTATTTTCTCCACTTTTAACTAGGCACAAGTATGGAAAATATCAAATCTTATCACATGGGCAGGCATTAACCACATCCCAGTTTTGCCCGAATGCTGTTCGAGTACTTGGAAATGGCGCTTTTTTTATTTTCACGAACAGATCTCGGGCAACGTTTTTTTCTTCTCCAATATACTGATTTGCCTGAATTTTTTGCTTGTTTAGTGTGTAATGTTTCTAACTGATGGTGCTATTGTGGCCTCTCTGGCTTTACTCTGTATAAGGGCGGACGTGGCCCTATATGCTAATTAACTTAATAGTAAAAGGGTGGTGGCCACGTCCTCCGTCACTATCACTATCACTAATCCAGTAAAGTTAGTCTTGTGAAACAACTTGTTTCAAGGTTAGGTTTTACTAAATTCTTTTACGCAAGTAAAAGCACGAAATTTCTTTTCACTAGGTCGTTGTTCCGTCTATTGCGAATACTGTTTCTTTTAAATTTGGAGCTAAAATAAAAGAAGAAATGGATGATAATGAGCAGCTTATAACTGAAAATAACTGATATTGACTCAGATAGTGAATCTGAAATTTCACTAAATAATTCTGGAAGTAATGACAGTTTGTTGTCTGACTTCTCTAGTGATGAAGAAACAGAAAGTATAGATAATCTAACGCAAATTCGGAACTTTTGTGAACTTGATGTTAATAATTCTTCTTGGAATCGAACAGATATGTAATAACAATAAAACATTTTTAATTCTGACATCTTTTTGCAAAGTGTTCTTTCCAGTTCGCTAACTTGCTTAAAAAAAGCCAACTTTATGGAAATGTACTTTTTACGATGAAAATAAAAATTAGCATAAATCAATAAATTCAACACTTGTAATAGTTCTGACTGCTGATTTAGGTTTATATAATGAATAACAATAACAAACCATTTTTCCAACAATAACAACCGAATTTCCAACAATAACAAACTTTTCATAAGAAGGTGGGTGTTGAAATACAAGGAACATTTATTAAAAAAATAATTCAACACCTGAAAGATTTGAATGAAGCCTTTAATCAATATTTTCCAAATGAATAATAGATTAAATAAAAACATTCATTGCGGATTACAACCCATTTATTGTGAATCCAAAACCTTCAAGTACGTCAGCAAAAGTATAAGAAATTTTTGAAAATGACATTTGATTCATTGTTGGACGAAAAATTTAAAGTGATACCATTAGTGGAATTTTGGTGCAGTTTAAAAGATGAATATCCTAATTTGTCAAAAAAGGCCAAATTGACACTTTTACCATTTGCAAGTAGCTATATGTGCGGATTGGTGTTCTTAATTTATGTTTCGACAAAACAATAAACTCAACAGAAAGGATGACGATCATGATATCAGAATTCGGTTTTCATCCATAAAACCAAATTTTAAATATATATGCAATAACAGAAAGAAGTACCACTCATCACATTAAAATTGAAATCATGTTTAAATACCCTTTTTACATTATTTTAAGAACTTTTGAATTAATTTAAAAATATTATTCCAAGCAAATAAGTATTCTAAAAAATAATTGTCATTTTATAACACCAGGGGTTCCACGAAAAAAGCGGACATTTAAAAGGGTTCCACTTGTCAAAAAGTTTAAGAAACGCTGCTATAATCCATGATAAGGCTTGGAATTTGTTAATGCATATAGGGAGGCTTTTCTAAAATTTGCTGATATGGGGATAAATGGTTCAGCATGTAAACAATTTCTATCTGATGGGACACAAATTATTTTAGCCATGCAGATTTTTGGCCCATTACACACAGCTAAATTGTTCTCAATTTGATTGCTGAAATGATACCATAAATGTTTGGTAATTTTTTATTAACTAGCCAACATAATTTTTAAAAAAAAAATCATCTTAACAAATGATTAAGCTACGCAGATTTTCAAAATTATTAAATGTGCACTAATTGTGAATCAATTCAGCTTTGCAGACTTTAAGTAGATTGTTTAAGAAAATATATAGGTGGCTTACCTAAAAAAAGATTAATAAAATTTTTTTAAACAAAAAGGACTTTATGCTATGTCACCAAAAACAAATGCTATTTATAAAAGCAAATGTGAGAAAAAGGTATTACTTCAACATTGTGAATACTGTGTATTATAGCTATGACTGAAGATTTTGGCAGTTGCAGAGAATTAATTCATTGTTTCAAACATTCATCCAGCCTTTAACCAACCTGTTTTTCATTTTCAATACATTACATGAGATCTTCAAAATAAGATCTGTACTGAATGACATGTTCAATTGCAAACTAATATAAGTATGAGCATATTTAACGTAGACAGCTATATTATAACCATTTGATATGGAATATTTCAAACTTACACCAGGCTTATCAGGACATAGGTTATAAGTTCAGAAGCACCTTTATAACCAACTTCTCTACTTCTAAATTAAATAATAAAATATTTTTGTAAGACCTGATAATAGAAGCTTTAATACCATTTAAAGAGTTATTCTTAACGTAATCTCACTGAGAGATAACATAAGATAATAATGAACATATAATTTATAAGAAAATATAAAGAGCACAATTAACATGTTAAGCATAAAATGAAATATTAACACTGTTTCTCCAAGTAAATTTCTATTTATGCTACAATATAGAATTTACAGATATCACACTGCATAGAGTTTTAATTGTGTTGCATAAAAAAATATTTATCTTGCACAAGAATTTATTTTTTAAACTGATATTGCAGCAGTTCCCCCCCTTTTTTTGAGGGGGGGAAGGTTTCATACAAACTCTTTTATAACAGTTTACATGACTAAATAATGCATCAAATTTAAAAAAAAAAAAGTTATATTTTTATATTTCCTATGGCTTATATAAGATTTTAATTTTCAGTATCAACCTTTTTTTTTATTGTCGTAATACTACACAATAAAAAAACTGTTGTATTCAAATGGATTTAATATCTTAAATCACAGTTTCCCAACCATTTCTGATTAGCATATTGTTTTAAGTTTTTTTTTATTGAATACCGCCTTTGAGTTTGCTTAGCACCTCTTCCTTATGCAACCATGATATATCAAATATTCTTCTGAGTGTGATTTGCAAATAATAATTCAACAGTAACGTACACTAACAATTTTAGGTATTTAATTATTACACTTATTTTACAGATTAGTAATGATTAAAGACTTTTCACTTATTTATAGTTATTACAATGAAACTAAATTTTTGCCAGTGCGAAAATGCTGAACGTGGAAGAACAAGCTTTAAGCAGAAATAGCATGTGTTTTGTGCGTGTTTGTTATCAGTACAAATATACATACATGCTGTGTTGGCTTTAAGACTTTTACACTGATATGTTATCGCTTGCATATTGTACATTTCCTTGCAGAAAGCAGCAAATTTACATACAAAATACATTAACCTGTTCAGTACGGCCGTGTCATATATGCATCAGCAGCAAATGTTATCTCACGGCAGGGTGTGTCATATTTGAATCGCCATTTAGTTTACTCGTATGGCCGGGCGTACCACATTTGACTTTTAGATAGAACATTTAATTAGTACTTTTTATTGCCGCTAGATGTAGCTGTATGTCTGTTATGGTGAAATATATTGAAAGTTAAGTATGTTTACCTTCATTCCTATGCAATGTTTTTTATTTTTGGTATTTTGTTTCGGAATGAAAGTGAGATTGGTGGGTGGGTGTTGAGCAATGTAATCACTCTTTAACAGCGCCATTTTGATATAAACAAATGCACATGTCCTCGCTGCATTGAGCTACTTTTTATTTTTGCGATATAGTGGGATAGACGTTCTATCATTAGAGAATTTTTTTTATTACTATTAGATTTTTCCTTTTTTGTTATTACTCTTAGATTTATCGGGCTTTGAGATAACTATTTTTTCTGGTCAGTGAAACGTATTTACTTCCTTGTTCGAAGTAAAAAGAAAGTACAAAAAAAAAAAAAAACCTTTACTATTGAACATAACTATCATAATGTTAGATACATTAATCATAACAAATTAATGTGCATAATCTTGGGTCAGCAAAAATTAAAGTCATTAACTGCTGTTCATAATACTAAAACTACTAGACAATTTAAAATGTATAAAATTTTTCTATGATGATATTACTTCTAAAGAGTTACATTTAAATTTTACTCATGTTTTACTCATTTCTAAAACCTAATGTGCATTTTATTAATTATAATTTGTACCACTACATAATGTTTTAGCGACATTTTACAGTACACTCGTTTGGGCCTATATGTAGATATTAATTAATTACCTTAAGGTATATGTAGTTTGAATGTTCACAATCAATTGTACACATTGCATAATAATAAACAGCATTAATTTATTTTTACAGAACAGGAGATGATTCGCATGCATTTGAAAAAACTCATAAGGAAAAACATAACAGAACAAAAACTTTTTGTGAATAACGCAAGAATAATCTTGGAATAATTTTAAAACTATATGGCACATCTTTTTACAAAAATCAACCTTGTATATCAATAGTAAATATTTCAGATTATCTATATGTTAAATATCCTGATTTTAGAAAGAATTATTTTGCATGTCTTACCCATGTATTCAGTGACTAATATGTATAGTTAGAAGTAACACATCCTCTCTGATAAAATTGCAAATATTTCTGAATAATATATGGTGAGGTCAATGGAAAGTATTATGTCATTGTAGTAATTTCACAATTTAAACATAATATTGACTTGAAATTCTAAAAACAAAACTACTGATGTCAGCTCAAAACATCATATGAAATAATATATTAGATTGAAAAAAGGTAATTGATTTCTAACGAAGAAAGATGAAGAAAAAGATATTTACATATATAGCTAAATTATAAATTTTACTTAATTCACTAATTCTTTTCTGTAAGTAAAAATGTACATAAAAAAAGGCAGATAAGTTTGTTGAATGATTTGATAATCATTCACAAAATATATGATCTTTACAAAATTTAAAAATTCCAAGGATCGTTAATAGTTAACTCTTGCAATTTATCTTCCATAGCAAATGTCTCTTCATCTTTATAAGGGGGAATTTGATCAGCAATAGGTGTTACCACAGCTAAAATGTCTTGCAAGGCTATATTTGATTTTCTACTTTGTTTGATGAACAAATGACGAGAAAGCTGAGCTGCAGTTGGCCTTCTGCTTGGATCTCTTTGCAAACATAATTCTGTAAAAATGTGAAAAGAATCAGAGAATTGTCTCATATGATAAACATCTCCTAAAGTTCCTTGTGAGTGAGAATCTTCATTGCTATAATAAGTGCGAGAATCCAATGGTCTAGGGTGATAACCCTGAAGTTTTTCTAGAAGCATCTGTGTAGGTGGCATTTCAGCGAACGGCACAATACCATTCGCCAACTCACATGCAGTCACACCTAAACTATATACATCTGATTTTGCATTATATCCCATTAAATTCTGTTCAAGCAATTCTGGACTCAGCCAGTTTAGATTTGTTACAGAATCAGGCGGAAAAGAATGAATAACAGTTTGCCATTTCCCATTGTTAATAACATTACAAGAATATCGAAGTCCAGAAAGCAAGGCTTTTCCTGATGATGAAATTAAAATATGACTTGCTTTTACACTTCTGTGAATAAAACCTCTCTTATGAACATAATCTAATGCTGACAGTACATCTTTCAATATTAAGCCTATAGCTATTTCTGGTAGCCCTTCAGTAAAATGTGTGTACATAACATCTTTTGCTGAACCATACGTCATAAGTGGCATTATAGCCCATACCTCATTATGAAACACGAATGAGCAATAATATGGCAAAAGATTTTCATGCCTTAATTGCTTAGTAACTAAAATCTCCCTCTGAATATATGTAACATCTTCAACACAAAAGTCTAAATTTGTCCTACGTATGGCAACTTGTTGCCCAGTAGTAATATGTCGTGCCACTGATATTGTAACTGCATCTTTCAGGCCTTTTCCAATTATAGCTAACAGAGCATACTGTGAAGCATCAGCTTCGTAAGTAATCATGGTGGTATCTTTGGGTAAGAGAGGTATTGATTCTGATAAAGGTCTGTAAGAGGATTCGTCATGAGCAATATCTCCTTCAACAGCAGTTTCTTGAACAGTTTTTGGACAGCCACAATCAGGCAGGCATGACATTGAATTTACAAATTAAGTACAATATTGTTTTTCAACATTAAAATCCTAGCTTCGTGATAAACAGTTTTCTTCCACTTTTAGTACATCGTGCACACATGTAAGAGCTGAAAAAAAAAAAAAAAAATATAAATATAAGTAAAAGAATAAATAACTATAAAATGAAAGATCCATAACTAGCGACATCATATATCAAAGTTAATCATATATCCCTCTTTTTTTTTTTTTTTTTATATATATATAATATATATATATATATATATATATATATATACTAATTTCAACATACGGAAATTGAAAGGGGAAAGTAATGCAAATAATTTAATTTCCAATGGATGTGTTTTGAGAAAGAATATTCATTGATAAGTTACCAATAACTTAAAAATATTCATGGATAAATTACCAATAACTATTACATAGTTAAAAGAAACCCACATTTCATTATGAAAACATAGTAATATTAACATAACAAAACTGAATAAGATATCTTCATTTCTATATCCCTGTATCTTAAATCTCATCCATTCTTTGTTATCTGTTGTTCATGCCTAGGTCTCAAATCATTCAGTGTAGCTGGAGTTGCTGTCTGCATTGTCTGTAATGGATTGCAAATCATCACTGTTACCACTGTCTTCATCTTTGTCATTATTTAGTCAATCTTTTCACATGCAGTGGTCTTCAAAACCATCAAGAACATAAGATATCCTTGTTTTCTTGAAGGTTTTCATTTTTATTTTTCATCAATCGTAGCCCATGCACTCAAAATTCATGAGCCAATCAATTCAAAAGAAGGTCGCTGGATTTTTTCAGCTCTTGTAAAAACCTGATGATATCCATTCATTATAAAACTTTCTGAGATAGTGTTTGAACAATTTATTCATTTATATGTCTGATGGTTGCAGAACTATGCAAGTCTCCTGGAATGATGATAGAAATGGTGCTTGCTCTGGTCATTTTTTTACATCATCTTTAATTATGCAGCATAAAGTTCAACAGTCAGAATACTTAAACATAATCCATATACCAGTTTTCATGAAGTTGCATAGTCTGGTTGCCTAGCAGCAAAGTTTAGCTTTTGCCATGCGTGCCTCACAAAGTTTTCGTGCGAACTCTCCTTTACTTAAATATGTTACATTGTTAGTAAATGGAAAGAAGAAGATTCTGCATGACCTTTGCAGGTAGTTTGCAAGACTTTGTTAATTACATGCAAACCACCACCACATGGTTGAATTCAGTTTAAAATTAAACGTAGCATGATTTACAGATGAGTGTGAAATCACAGCACACTCATAACATCTGCACTTTTGTTTGATGTAAACTCATTTCATTCTCGATAAACCATCTTAGGTCTTCATGGACCAAGGACATAAATTAACTGTTATTGCTATACTTTTTCCTTACACTTTGAAAGCAATGATAAAAATTTGGAACCTAACTTATACAGAACAACAAACAATGGATTAATTTCAAATTTATGCAGCCCTCTCATGAAAAAAAGAGTATTAATGGATAGGATGACACGATATGGGCAGCTGAATATGGTCGACAAAATAATAATAGATTGAAATAATTACATTCGAGAAGTTTGTATTCATAGCTTTTAAAACAAAGCTTCCAGTAAAAATGGAGAGTCTAATAAAACAGTGGAATCAAGAAAAGCATTTTTATGAAGCATAAAAATTAATTTGGTTGAATACTGATTGTTTATGAAATAGAGCTAGTTCCTTCAGAATTCCACAGAACAACTATTGCAACATCCACTAACATTCATGGTTCTTTGGCAGTCAATTTTCAAAGTCAATGGAATAATATATACAGGTAAGTACCTAAGAATTTTCAAAACCTTGCACAAAAAAGCTAGGGGGATACATGAGTAAATATGGTATAGTAGTATCACATATTCTTGCATTAACTCCTTAACTGCCGCGGGCGTATATATACGCCTTGCTCAGCCGATGCGTTAACTGCCCCAGATGCGCCCAGATGAGCAGCCGATGCGTTAACTTTGCGAATAATTTTAGGTGTAGCAGCGCAAAGCAAATGATAGCAGTTTGGAAGGACGTATATACACGCCTGGGGCAGATAACGCATCGGCTGAGCAAGGCGTATATATACGCCCGCAGCAGTTAAGGGGTTAAGTACAAAATATGAAAAAAAAAACCTGTATTCTTAATTAATTTTAATTTAAAAATAGACATAAAAAATAAGACTATTTCTGTGAAGCTTTTATAACACAGAATTATGATCAAGTGAAAATCAAACATGAAGATATGTTAAACGAGTTGAAGACAAAAAGCCTCCCATTCATTTTGCAATTCAGTATATTTTCTTTTACTTCCTTGTACGAAGTAAAAAGGAAGTATTGTAATTGCCAAAAATTTCAGGTATCATATTTCAACAAAAATATCCATTTCAACCACTATCGAATGAAATTTAACGATGTTTTTGTGTGACATCTGTACGTAAGGACAGAATAAAGGACTCTCTCCTCCCCCCCCAAAAGAAACTGATTTAAAATGAATTCCGAAGAGAATTTTTTGTAGTGTCTGTGCATACGTATCTCGCACAACTAAAAAATGAGTAGCGTCAAAACTTTGAAATTTTGTATACAAGACTGCTATAACATGTAGATGTGCACCGCATACTTTGGTTGCAATTGGCCACACCAAAAGTATATAACTATACATATATATACATATAATACAAAGTCTGAGATCCGGACTCATCGGGACTTGCGCAATTCTGGATATTAGATCGTCAGTTTAAATGTGGTGAGATGGCATGTAGAAATAATAAAATTAAAAACATGAAATAGTAATTTATGAAATAATGAAGCATTTATGATCTAAAAGGTATCAAAATTTACAAAAAAAAAAAAAAAAAAAAAAAAAAAAAAAAAAAAAAAAAAAAACTTAATATTTATTTGTTTACCTTACTAAACATTTCTTTCAATGTAAGTTTTTTTTTTTTTTTTTTTTGGTGCTAATACTTTCTCTTTAATTCTGTAGACAAACATCATCTCTTGTTCAGTTACATTGCTGAAGTCCTGTAACTGCTGTTTCGAGAATTCTGACTAACTTGTGAATCAAAATTTTTTCGTTTTCAGTGACCTCTTTGTCACTTTCTTCATTATTGGTAGCGGTATTTTCTGGATCTAGAACCATACTACAGATTTCGTCATCCATTAACTGATTGATGATTGAGGAGCATTTGTCATCTCAATGAAAAATTTCTTTTATATAATTTTCATTTATTACCGCTTCCCCACATTTCTTTACAAAATCTGGTAATTGGAAAATTTCACCTTTGTTTTGCGATATCCAAAAACCTTTAAAATTAGTGGCTATCATCATCAATTTAGCTATCCTTCACTATACATATATGACTATGCATCATGAGCTTGGCAACCAATGACAGCTTGTTCCATTAAATTTTATCTTGCTTCTATCACGCACTGAGATAATTAAGCCTGACTTGTATTAGTTTAGTTATTTATTATACTTATGCCTATTCCTTGCACATGCTTATCTGAGTCCTGAATAAATAAATTCCCACATATACTGAAGGCTTATTGAAAGCTCGCACTTGAAATCTTACCCATCACTAGAATCTTAATAAAAAAATAAAGGCCAAACTATGAGGAAATAAATTAGATGATAGTTGGGTCACTTCTTCACAAAATTCAATAGCACATTAATGTATTTTTTGGTATGGTTTATTATTAAAAAGAAGTTTTTTTAGCAACTCATGATTCTAAAAAGCATCCCTTCATTAATATTGTCATTAACAAGTGAAGTTATATAGCCACATGATTTTGCTTTAAATGAGATAACAATGAGGTAATTTTATACCCTCTCCAGAGTAGGGCTGTAAGGAGAATATAGAATGTTTAGGATACAACGGTAGTTACTATGAGGGGACCAGCAACCATTTTTAACAGCATTCTTTATATTCCCCTTTTAAGGGGGAGAAAGGGTTAGTGTGTTCATTGTAGGTTTTAGTACCTCTTCTAAGCATAACACAAAATGTTTCACTAGCCCCAGGGCCAGCACAAGGATCTAACCACCTGGTGCACTCTTTGAGGGTACTAAATTCTGCTGCTCAGTGCCATTCTGAATTCGAAAAATTTTGTCATCATTAAATTTTGCTGCTCAGTGCTTCTCTAAACTCTAAAAATATTATCACCCCTAAATTTTACTGTCCAATGTAGATGCACTAACTCTAGCACCAGTCCTGCTAACCATCATATGTCTGTATTTTTTAACCATCTCTTTTTTTTTCATCAGAATGTTCCAGTGATGTTACGCTTGCCTACTCAGCCCATATTTCAGACCTGAAAATTAACAAAATTAAGCCGAGGATTAAACTTCACTGAGTACAATTGTAATCTTCCCACTCATTCATATAAATTTTTTGAGTTACCTGTATCTTTTTTGTACTAAATCAACAAACTTTGATTAATTTCAGTAGATTTAATTATCTTTGCTAAAAGAATTCTCAGTACTTGCACATTATTCCATCATCCTTGAAAGTTGACTACTATCGAATAATCGAAGTTGTCAGGGATCCCATCAAAGTAGCGCCAGTCATAACTGTGGAATTCTGAAGGAAACGAAACATCTTCATTTAATAAACAATCTTTATATAATATGCTTCATAAAAAGATTTTGTTCTATGTATACTATTTTTGTTAGGCTCTCTGATTTAACCAGAACCTCTGTTTAAAAAGTCATGAGTATAAACTTTTCACAAGTAATTACTGTTTTGTAGGCAATACTCAGCTGATCAAATGAAGACCATTAATAATCACTTTTTTTTGGTAGTAGGATGCTATAACCTTGAAAATAATCAACTACATGGCATTCTGTAGTATGCAGATCCCAAATTTTAATCACATTTTCAAAATGCAAGAAAAAATTACAGCATCAACAACTAATTTATATGCTTGTTCATAAAAACAAAATGTGGCTTAATGAGAATAAGATGGGGTTAGATTAAACAAATGTGAAGTTGTTACGAGTGTATTGTTATGCCATGCTTATCCATAAGAGACACTATATCACACCGTTTGGCAAGTTTCATGGTTGACGGGATAATACATACTTCCCACCCAAAAAAGAAACAAATTAATTGACATCCTCTATACGTTATTCATTATCCAGATCAATTTAGTTGTTTAGAAATGAATCCAGTACAAAACTAGTTGTTTCTCAAGACATCATAGAGTATGTCGACCCAGATATGCAGCAACAGTGGGAAACTGAATTCGTCAATCTTCTGTAAAAAAGTCATTTGCCTTCTGTAGACTTGTACATGAAGTTGATGATCAACCAGACTGAGCTTCATTCAGTACATTTTGTTCATCCCTTTTAATCTTCCCACTCATTCCCGTATTTTTGATAGACTGGTTTTAGTTCTGTTCTAAACCCCCACCAACATAGTTTGAAAAATTTTAGCAGATTTAATTCACCTTGCCTAAACAATTCTCATTATGGTGCATTATTCATAAACACAGTACAGTTCAGTGTCTCTTTTTATTATTATTATGAAGTTTTGCCTTTAATATATTCTTTGCATGCTTTCTATATGATAAATTTATGGAAGAACATCATCTGAGACTCTGAGAAAAGAATCTTAGTGAAATCAAAATCGATTTCTGTTATACCACAGCCATCTTATTTTTTTGACTACAACCTACAGTGGATGGACAAAAATATGGAAACACCTTGTGAAATGCATGTTTGAAAAGAAAGATTGATTTTAATGAAATATGTAGGTAGCGCTGGCGTTTTTGACTACTGACGTCACCTATACAACTTCGTAAATGTGCTAAACAGTTCAGTTGTTGTCGGAGTACTGTTATGTGAGGTTATCATAGCATTATGTCAGAGTTAACAGACTTCGAACGTGGGCAAATTGTTGGACCACGTATGGTAGGTGCATCCGTAAGCAAGGTAGCCGAGGTGTTTATTGTTTCAAGAGGTACTGTATCGAAGATTTATTCCGCATATTTGAAAAGCAGAAAAACATCATCTGCTAAATCACAGCGCGGACTAAAGTGTGTCCTGAGTGATCGTGACAGATGATCATTAAGGGCAATTGTGACGAAAAATAAGAAGACCACAGCTGCAAAAGTTACTGCTGAAATGAATGTTGTGTTACCGAACCCTGTGAACCCAAAACAATTAGAAGGGAGCTTCATAAACAGGGAATTGCTGGCCATGCTGCAATTTAGAAGCCACTCATCAGTGATGCTAATGCCCGCAACAGGAAAAGGTGGTGTTTAAGTCATAAAGCCTGGACTATAGAGCAGTGGAAGCGAGTAATATGGTCTGACGAGTCTTCTTTCACATTGTTTCCCACTTCTGGCAGAGTTTACATCTGGAGAACGCCATCTCAAGCCTATAATACAGACCGCTTGTTGCCAAGAGTGAAACATGGCGGGGGTTCTGTTATGGTTTGGGCAGCCATATCATGGTTCTCTGCTAGCCCCATGATAACTGTGTCAGGGCACATGAATGCCAAGACTTATGTGAACATTTTGGCCGATCAAGTTCATCCCATGGTACAAACTTTGTTCCCCGATAGTGATGGTGTCTTCCAAGATGACAAAGCCCCTGTTCACACAGCTCACATTGTCCAGGACTGGTTTCCTGAGCACGAGGATGAGTTGTCCCCATCTCCCTGGCCAACAGTCCAGAGAATTTCGATTTGTGCAATGAGGAATCTTCGTTTAGTGATTGCTACCGGTTTTAGGAAGAAGTTTTTACTATTCCATTTGCTTCATTTTATTGTTGCAAACAGCGTAAATTCCTTTTGTTTTTCTTCCTTTAGTTTTGAACTTTATGTGTGGCAACAAGATAATTGATTGATAGAATTGTGTTTGTGACAGCCATGTAGAATGGCTCGCTTATTTTGTATCAATTATTTCGCATCGCTGACAAGTGTAATTAAAATAAAAGTGTAGGAATACAGTCCATTTGTTGATTGATTATTGTTTGTGAAATATATTAAGTTAAGAACATTTATTGTTGGTCAAAAGTCTAGCCGGAGAGCTAGTGAAGATAGTGACTGTTCTAAGTGTATTCTAACAACGCAAATATGCATATGGTTGGTGAAAAATTATCCACTTTGTGAGGTAAGTGGATTTTGAACAAAAATTCGTTTAATTTGTTGTTAAATTTTAAGAACAATGTTGTAATACAGCATAGAATTCGATTTCATTTTAATAATAGTGTTAAGTGATTTAAGAACAATTTCTGTTTTTGAATTGATCAATTATGAGTGAACTTATAACTTTTAAAACAAAAAGAGCGGTCTTACGCAGGAGTGTTACTAATTATGTAAAGAAAATTGAAACTATTTTAACTGCAGATGAAATTAATTTAATAGAACTAGAGGATGTGTCGAATTATTGAACACAAAAAGAAACTGAGTTAAGGAAGCTTGATTCTGAAATCGAAAGTTTAATTACAGATACTAAAGAATTAGAAAACGAAATAGATAATGTTCAGGAGTACACAGATAAAATTTATTTGTGGAAATTTAAAGGTGAAAAAATATTAAAAAATCAAAATAATAAAAATAATTCTAATAGTGTAATTTCAGAACAGGTTCTTGACAATATTAAATTACCCAAGTTAACATTACCGACTTTTGGTGGTAATATTACAGAATGGATAGCTTTTAAAGATCTTTTCAGTGCTTGTGTAAGAAATAATACAAATTTATCTAATGCTCAAAAATTGCAGTATTTGAAGGCTTCGTTGAAAGGTGAAGCATATCGCATTATTCAAACCATTCAAATTTCGGATTGTAATTTTGAAATAGCATGGAATCTGTTAGACGAAAGATATTCAAATAAGAGAGAACAAATTTTTGCATATATTAAACGTTTTTTAAGTTTACCAACTATTCAAAATGAATCAGCATTTGCTATTTTAAATTTAGTTGACAATATTAATGAAGTAATTCGTTCTTTAGAAGTATTGAATCAAACCATTGATAATTTTGGTGACACTTTAATGACTTATTTAATTTTGCAAAAATTAGACCCTTCTACAAAATTATGGTGGGAACGTCAGTTAAAATCTAATGAAATTCCAAAACTTACGACTTTAATTGAATTCCTAAAAAACTATGCAAGAACACTTCAAAATAGCAAATCAACAAGTAATAAGGTACCTAAATCTGTGTTTCAAAATAAGAATAATGTTCTGGTTGCTACTTTGGGTTGTGGTTATTGTAAAGAAGATCATAGTTTAGCCAAATGTTCGAAATTTCTAAATTTATCGGTTCAGCAAAGGATAGAATTTGTAAAATCTAATCGTTACTGTTTTAATTGTTTATCTAATATGCACTTGCTCAAAAAATGCAAGAGTTTAAATACATGTCAACATTGCTTTAAGAAGCATCACAGTATTTTGCACATTGTAAATAATTCAAAGAATAAAACTCAGTTAAACAGTATATCTCCGCCTACGCAATCTATCCATTAAAAGAGATGAATTAACGAGTCCTAAGGACGTTTCAGCCACAGTTTGTGCCTCTCATTATGATTCGAATGCAAAAGGTAATCAAACCAGTCACATTTTATTGTGTACTGCTTTAATAAAAGTTCAAAATTCTAAGCAACAATTTGTGAAGTGTAGATGTTTATGTGACACTGGATCTCAGAGATCATTTATTTCAAGGGATTGTGTGAAGAAATTAGGATTACGAGTGAAAGATAATTCCATTTCTGTATCATGTCTAGGAGAATTTAATACTATAAGTAATGGGGAAGTCGATTTAGTATTCACTTCTCATTTTAAAAGTGATATTCGTGTATCAACATCAGCGTTTGTACTGGACAAGGTGACAGATAACATTCCCTATGTATCTTTGCCATCAATCATCTTCGATAACTTCAGTGATTTACAATTAGCTGATCCATTATTTTACAAGTCACAACCAGTTGACATTTTATTTGGAGTAAATGTATTTCTGCATTTAATGACGGGAGAAATTGTCAAACGTGGTCCTGATCTACCATTTGCTCTAAATTCGAGGTTGGGATGGATAATTTCGGGTACTACAAATTTTGAATCTACAAATTTTGAGCCAGTATATGTAAATCATTTGAATACAAACACAGATGAGTTAGTAAATTCTTTCTGGGAGTTAGAAAAGTTTCCAAATGTACAACCTTTAACAAATGAAGAAAAACTTTGTGAAGAACATTTTAAAAACTCGCATTTTAGAGACACATCAGGTCGTTATTCAGTTGCATTACCATTCAAACATAATAGAGATATTCTAGGTGACTCCCGTGAAAGTGGCGTACAGAAGATTTCAATACTTGGAGAAGAGGCTGTTATCTATGAAAGAAATTTACAACCAGTATATTCAGTTTATGAAAGAGTACTTTTCACTAGAACACGTAGAATTAGTGCCAGACACAGATTATGAATTAGAGAATAAACACTATTATATCCCACATCACTTCGTGTTGAAGGACTCTAGCTTAACAACAAAATTGAGAGTTGTTTTCGATGCGAGCGCTAAAACAACCACAGGTGTTTCTTTAAATGATACACTAATGATAGGCCCAAAAACAAGATGACTTAATTTGTATTTTACTAAGATTTAGACTTCATAACATTGCAATAACCGCTGATATTAAAATGATGTACAGACAGATAAAGGTTCATGAAAAAGATAGAGATTTTCAGAGAATATTATGGAGAGATAGCCCGTATATAAGCAAATACAAGTTTGTCGTTTGAAAACAGTTACATATGGAACTGCAGCTGCTCCATATCTTGCAACCAAAGTTTTGAGTCAGTTAGCGATTGATGAAGGATTGAACTTTCCAAAGGCAAAGAATATAGTTTTAAGAGATTTTTATGTTGATGATATGTTAACTGGTGTAAAAGATAGTTCGGAAGGTATTGCATTGATAGACGAATTGCAACATCTGCTAAAAAGTGGTGGCTTTGAGCTTCACAAATGGTCGACAAGTGAACCGTCATTGTTAAAAACCTCTGGCTTAACAAACACAGATAGTGACAATATTCATCGTGTAATAGAAGACAAACCATTGAAAGTTCTGGGATTGGAATGGCATCCGGACAATGATGAATTCAAATGTAATGTCGGTGTAATAGAGTATCAAAGTGTTCCGACTAAAAGAATTATTTTGTCATTCGTAGCAAAACTATTCGATCCATTGGGGTGGATAGCTCCGTTTGTAATTCTCGCTAAAATGATCCTTCAGCAATTGTGGAAATTACAATTATCATGGGATGATCCTGTAACAGAAGAGATTGATCGAAATTGGAGAAATCTATGTAGAGAAGTTAAACTTTTGAATTCTATAAATATACCTAGGAAAATTCTGCTACCTGATTATTTTCGATGTGAACTTCACGGATTTTGTGATGCGTCTGAAAGAGGTTATGCAGCAGTTATTTATATCAAAACTTGCAATAACTCTGACATTAATGTTAAACTCGTAACAGCTAAAACTCGTGTAGCACCATTAAAATCTATTACGATTCCAAGACTGGAATTATGTGCAGCAGTGTTATTGGCACGCTTGATTCAGTCTGTAAAAGCTGCATTAGTTATAAATTTTGATTTAGTGCAAGCTTGGAGTGATTCACAAATCGTGTTGTCATGGCTAAGGTCAGATCCTAAAAAATGGCAAGTATTCGTATCCAATAGAGTTTCTGAAATACAATCCATCTTACCACCTGAGAACTGGAGTCATGTTGATGGAAAGGAAAATCCAGCTGATTGTGCTTCACGTGGATTATTTCCTGCAGAACTATTATCTCATCAATTGTGGTGGAATGGTCCTTCTTGGTTAAAGTGCAGTGAGATTGCCTTGTCTAAAAATATTCTTATAGATGAAGAGGCATTACCAGATGCACGTAAAACAGTCTCATTTGTAGTTTCTGAACCTGTACAGGAACTTGCTATTATATCAAATATATCTTCATTTCCAAAGTTACAACGCATATTTGCTTGGATATTAAGATTCATATCGAATTCTAAAGTAGCATATCTAGAAAGAAATACGTCTTTTTTATCTAGTAATGAAATTCGAGCTGCAACTTTCTGTATTGTCCGAACAATACAGCGATTTCACTTTTTTAAGGAAATTCAATGTTTGTAGTTGGGAAAGGACTTACCTACAAACAGCAACCTCTTTAGCTTGTGTCCAATTTTAGATGACAACAAAGTGTTATTTTTAGATGACAACAAAGTGTTATGTGTAGGAGGGAGACTGAAAAATGCGCAACTATCAGAAAATGAAAAACATCCAATCTTATTACCTTCAAAACACAATCTGACAGAAATAATAATTAGACACTTTCATGTCAAATATCTGCATGCAGCACCGGAACTTCTTCTATCTTTAATTAGACAGCAATTTTGGATCATAGCTGCTAGATCTGCTATCCGAAAAGTAGTAAGATCTTGTATCACGTGTTGCAAACTTAGAGCTAAAACTGCAAGTCAAATAATGGCTGATCTACCGGAATCTAGAGTAACACAATCGCGACCATTTCATCGAACTGGAATAGATTTTTCTGGACCGTTCATGATTAAACATCGTGCAGGACGTGGACAAAAATCATTTAAATATTACGTATGCTTATTTGTGTGTTTTGTAATCAAGGCAGTACATCTTGAAGTGGTAGAAGATTTGTCAACAAAGGCATTTTTTAAGTGCATTGAAACGATTTATTGCAAGAAGAGGGAAACCATTTGAGATTTATAGTGACTGCGGTACTAACTTTAAAGGTGCAGACAAAGAAATCAGAAAATGTTTTTTGCAATGTAAGCAAAATCAAGAAATTCACAAATTTTTGTCTTTAGAGGAAATAAAATGGATATTCAACCCGCCATCATCTCCCCATTTTGGTGGACTATGGGAATCGGCAGTAAAGTCAATGAAATTACATCTAAAAAGGACTGTTGGTGATACTGTGCTGACCTATCCGGAATTTCAGACCTTGATAGCGCAGGTTGAGGCTTGTCTCAACTCTAGGCCATTGTGTCCAACTTCGGCTGATCCAAATGATTTAACTGCATTAACACCTGGTCATTTCCTAATAGGAACGTCTTTAACTGCCATACCTGAACCAGACCTAAATTATAGTTCCTTCAATCACATTGACAGATGGCATGTGAGACAGTTTATTTTTCAAGGTTAGGGAGAATAATTGCTGTTCATCCGGGCTCAGATCAAAGAGTCAGAGTTGCTAGTATTAAAACTGGTCATGGTGTCATTAAACGACCAGTCGTGAAATTGTGTCCTCTTCCTATTCAGACTAAAAAAACTATGAACTGCTTCGCATATAATATTTTGTATTATTTTATGTTTATCTTTATTACAGACTAAAAAGTTTCAAAATGCTCCAACTGTTGAAATCCCCTGGGATTTCAACGAGGGCCAGGATGTTTATGTGAGTATCGTTTGCTTCATTTTATTGTTGCAAACAGAGTAAATTCCTTTTGTTTTTCTTCCTTTAGTTTTGAACTTTATGTGTGGCAACAAGATAATTGATTGAGAGAATCGTGTTTGTGACAGCCATGTAGAATGGCTCGCTTATTTTGTATCAATTATTTCGCATCGCTTACAAGTGTAATAAAATAAAAGTGTAGGAATGCAGTCCATTTGTTGATTGATTATTGTTTGTGAAACATATTAAGTTTAAGAACACCCTGTATGAGCCTGCTGTTCTCTCTTATCAAGATAGCTCTACAAACTTTTCAGACAATTCAAGCTATCTAGAACAACACAATGGCCAGTCTTATACTAATACCAAAAGGATATGTCCTAATGTTTGTACAAATAATAGGAGTATATGCATGTTATGATGAAAATGATTATACATTATAATTTAAAATTTCAACTTGGATTTACTTACAAGCATTTTCTATCAATTTTCTGAACACATCACTATCTTCTACATAATGAAATTATAACATAAATTATTTACATAACAGATTAAGATAAATACTTTTGAATCTCAGTATTTTCCTAGCACACATGAAATTTCATATATTTCTCAATTAAAATTCATCATTATATACATGATTAATAATTTTGACTTCAAATCTTAGTGTTTTTTTTTTTTTTTTTTTTTTTTTTTTTTTCTTTTTCTTTTTTTTTTTTTTTTTTTTTTTACTTACTGGAATTGTACTGGAATTTGTGAAGAAGTATTCAAGGCAATGTTATGAAGCAAGGCTGGCATGGACTCATTAAATTGTTTTCATCAGGGATTTTCATTACTCTGCAGAAGAAAAGTCATTAATTAAAATAATATATTATACAGTAGAACCCTGATTATCTGAGTTTTAATTAACCAAGGTTTCTGTGTTATCCTTGTAGTTATAGCAGTAGGCAGAAAGTTTGCTGCTATTAACAAGCTAGATTATGGTGAAATAATTAAAAAGACAGCTACTGGTTTAGACACTGGCTTCTGGAGAAAGTGGAGGAAACTGAGAAATGGGTGACTCAACATGTACGCGTAACTGGAGATAATTATACCACAAAGAAAAGACAAACTAGGAAAAATGGTGAATATGAGCAGACATCAGAAACCTTTTTTATTACGTTTTCAGAAAATAAGAGGGAAGGAGAGTCTGCTAGCTGGTCCAATAATTACAAGTTTAGATTTTGCATTTTTCCCAGCATAGTAAAGACGAAGAGGAATTCACCACCAGCATAGGTCGGTTTTAACAGTAGGAAAAAATAGTATGAAGTGTGATAATTAAACATTGCAGAGGAGATTTTGTCAGCTAACTCAGGTGCAGTGACTTCTTCTATTGATCCTTTTGTGCTGACTGTCACAAATACGTGCCAGCAAGAAAGGAAACGCACTTATTTCCCGGCTGGCACGCCACACCCTTTTATTGTCCACACCATATGTCACACATTTGTGCCAATGTCCTAAAACATTTTAAAGACCACTAGATAGCATCCTGTGTATGGCATTCTGCATAACGTTGGTGTCAGCTGTTGCGGAGGAGTAAACAGCTCGCTTCGTTAACCTGCCATGTGATATAAACATTCGTATTGCAGATATCCCTTTGAATCTTTTTTTTTTTTTTTTTAATTCTTTTTTTGCTACTATGTAGGGTCTTTTAGGGTTAATGTGTGGAGTTCTATTATGCTTTGCAATGCTTTTGTCGCTTATATTTCCCGTACTTCTCTTTCATTTTGGACTCGGTTTATTATGGTAAGCAAGCGTTCTTTATCAGACAAAGGATATAATTGCATGGTAAATGAGCCGATTAGTCACATGAATGAGAGTACAATTCATTTTTTCCAAAGTGTTAAAGATTGATATTTCTAGCGACATTTTTCCAGAGACTGGGCTCACTGAGTGTCTGCCTTCTAGTTCATGTGAAAGATTTTGTTACTTTTTGTAAACAGACTTTCCCATAATTTTATTTATTAATGTATTTTATCAATTAAAACTTCAGAATAATTTGAACAGAGCTTCCAGAAATTATTTCTCAAAGTAAGCAATTTTTTTTTATACATTTTCATGTAAGGTAGAGGAAAAAGACTATTAAATGCTAATTTTAACACATATGAAAGCTTAAGTAATAATCTAAAATAGTACCAAGAATTATGACATTGGGAAGTACACTTTTTTTGGTGATTTTTTCCCTAAAGCTTAGCACTTGCAAAACCTTGGGCTGTGTGACAATTTCTTTTGACTCCCATCTGTTCCAGTGGAATGTCTTAAACAAAGGTGCACTATCTCGAAAGGGTTAACAATTTGGATAATATCTTTCAGGAAAACAAACTGGGCCCATAATAAATTTATAGCTGTGATGAAACAGGTCTGAATTTTAAAACATTGCAAGAAAGGCACTAGCATTAAACCAAGAACATTTAGCTTTTGTCTACAAATGAAGTAAAGAAAATGGTGATGGTTTTGGCACATGCAACCAATTTGGTGATAACTAGCTTAAGCTTTCACTGATAGGAAAGAGGAAAAAACAAGAGGATTTATAAATGCTAATGATGAAAATCTTCCTGTAAAGTACACAAACCAAAGTGCTTGGATGGATTCAATAATATTTAAGTCATGTTTCTGCAAAGAGTTTATGACAAGTGTTAAGCAATTTTCTGATGAAAATAATTTACTCCATAAAGCGGTCTTAATTTTGAACAATGCTCCCAGTCATCCTGACAAATTTCATAGCTGGTTAGGGAAGAGATCTGAGCTATTTTTTTAACCTCTAGCATTAAATCCTATTCAGCCTTTGGACCAAGATGTTTTAGTGACCCTAAAATGAAATTACTGATGCAGGCTCTTGAAATAATTATTAGAAGATCTAGAAAATAACAAACAGCTGCCTAAAACAGGTTATCTAAAGCCTAAAACAGGTTATGTGAAAGATGTCATTTACTGGCTGGGAGAATCCTGGAACAATATGAAACAATCTACCATTTTGAAAAGCTTGAAAAATATTTCACCAAATGACGATAACACAAGAATGACACATGTAAATGATAAAGATTCAGTGATTATCTTAAACCAAATACAAGTCACAAAGGCAGTAACAAATGAAGATGTGCATGACTGGATGCAAGAATGATAAAACAGCCTGATACGGCCATTGTAAATTTAGTCACTTATTGTATATACCTAAACTAATTAAACTAAATTCAGTGGCGTAACAGCCTAGAGGGCCAAGGCCTGCAGTGCCCCTATATTTGCTTTCTTGACCATGGGCTCCAGGATGCATGAGCGTTATGCCCTGGAGAAGTAGTTTGTTGCAAGACCCACAGTGTTTAGTCCCCAAGCGAACTTGGTACTCATTTTATCCCACTCAAGGAATGAAAGGCTGAGTTGACATTGCCCAGCCCGGGGATCGAATCCCGGACCTATGGTACTGCTTAACAATGAGCTAGCCACTGCGCCACCAGGCTTTATTGTATATCTCATGGTTTCTTAAACTGTGACTCGCCAAAAATTTTAGCAGTTTTGATATTTCTTTAAATTATTATAATAATTTTACAATTACCAAATATTTTTACACAATGTATCTGAAAATAGATAAAGAATAAGGCACCGCAGACAAAAAAAAAATATATTTTGACGTATTCTTTTTATAATATAAATGATGTTCATTTTCCTTGCTTTGCACTTGATGCTGTCATTTCGTTGCTTAGTTAAAATTTTCACATTGTTGTACGTCTTAAAATTAGAAATTAATTATAAATTAGACCTAAAACTGCAATGCTATATTACAGTACAAGTGAAAAATTGACAGTTTCATTTATGCATGTGTTGGATTTGCACAATACTTATGGGTTCCCACAAAATTTTTTTAAATATTATGGGGTCCTGGGGGGTTGCGGAAAAATCTCAGCGATAAAAAGGGGTTGCAACTGAAAAAAGTTTAAGAAACCCTGGTATATATGATAGGAATGAAGTTCTGCTCACAAAGCCAGGGGATTTGTTCAAACCAAGATTAGTCACACGAATGGCTTGCATGCCATCAAAAAGGCACTGCTCTGCTGAACAATAAGATGATATATCAGCAGCTGACATTATGATGTAGCAATGTTTACACAATATAGCAGCAAGAAAGCAAGGTAGCACAATGAAACATAAGGATGTTATTGATTTTTAAAAAAATGTGTGTGATTATTTTGTTAACCATACTTCATTTCTATAACAAGCATATGTTTTCAGGTTTATAGTACATATCATAGTTAATACTACATGTGTATCTGTACATTTGAAACACACACATATATTTCATATTGCTACATACCTGTATGAATTCTGTATATTAGTAAATTCCTATCATATATACAATAAGACTACAATTGTTGTATTAATCGGTGCAATCCAAGTTAGGCCTAGTTCACATTAGCTCAGATAATTGGGATTCTACTGTATCTAAAATGCAATTATTGCAAGTTATGTAGATAAAATATTATTTTAAATAGTTTTCTCAAATTTTTGATACACAGAAATATATTTATTTCCAAGCATATGTTAAGCAAAAGTCTCAATGGCAACAGGAATTAGGTTTACTTTTAAGTATATGCTACAAACAGGTACTATTTCTGAATGACAGATCTACTCTTGATAACAGAAAACAAAGTGGTTTACTAATTTTTCCATTAAAGCCAAAATTACTGAAATACAAGCTTATAAATATCTTGCAATATGATAAAAACTGTTATTTCTAGACAAGTAATTTAGCATCTAGAGAATGAACATTTATTAATGCACTTTTCTGTTTTTCTGAAAGACTAGTTAAGTTAGACTAGATGTTCATGTAATTATTTTAGAAAACTATTATAAATAGTATTTGATTATAAAAATTATACATAAATTTTAGTTCAATAGATTTGAAATTAAACATTTTCACAATCCTGCTACTAAGAATTTCAAATAAAATTCTTCAAAAAATATCTCTCAAAATGAAAATATTATCAACCAAAATTTTAAGTTGAGATTCTTCAGTCAAATAATAAGCTAATTAATGATAACTAATAATCTGATCTCAACTTGCTTATTTGCATAAATACCATTACTTAAAGAAAAAAGTCCCATAGGAATATTTTGCTTGATTTTACACTGCCCTTATTTCCTATAATAGATATAAAAACTGAACAATGAGAAACAAAGTCACTTAACATTACGCAAAACTGAAACAGCCTTTCAAAATGCTGATGTGAGAATTAAAACTGCTAAGAATGTTAAATTACTAAATGCATTTTTCTAAAATAAGCCTTCATATTAAAAAGGCTTACAAATAAATCTTTCATGTAAAAAAAAAAAAAAAAAAAAAAAAAAAAAAAACATTCATTCAGATGTACTGTTCTCAAATTACCATTCACAGACATGCTTTAAAAATCTGAACTTCTGAAATTAATGATATTCAATTTTTATTTGATTCCTAAAATCATTGCATCCTTGACAAGATTTTCTTAGCCGATTTTTCACATTATATTGAAGTAAATTTAAAGAATACAGGAAATCAAATCCCAATAATGCAAAATAAAATAAGGTTCACATTCAGCATTTTTTAATGTTTAATTTTACACCGTTTAATTCCTGTCATCACTGCCCAATACATTAATATTTTATGGAAGTAATTTTTTAATTGAATATTAATTCTTTTTAAGTGCCTTAACAAAGAAAGAAAATTTATTTCAGAACATATCAAATAAAAAATTTAAATCATATTTTACATTTTTACAAGCATCCTGGGAATCCAAACTGCATAATAATGAGATAAGTAATTTAATCTTTATATTTTCGAAAATTTACAAGAGAGCTATGAACAAACCAAATTTCACGGAAGATTACTTACCACTGAAAATATCTAAGGAATGAAAACTTCATCATTGATAGGTACCATAGCTACAACTCTGGCCTCAGTAATGTCTGTTCCAAAATATATAAATAAATTAAGTATGAAATTAATCATTATATGCATTTATTAATTCGTTCAGTATGACAGCATTTTAGGATGAAACAGTAAACAAAAAAGTCTCTCTATGAAAATTTATCACTTGCAATTACTTTACATACTTTTATTACAGGAAACTTTTCACTCAGCCCTCACTTGAAATTTTTTCATATCAATTTCATTTTATTTAACACAATGTAAATACTTTTAAGAGAAATACATGTTCTTGTTGATTGCAAGATATGCTTACCAATTGGTAAAACTTTAAATTAAATTATCATTAGCATTAAAAAAGCTACATATATTAAAAAAAAATTAGAATATTAATTTTAACAAATAAAAATACATGGTACTTATGTATCATTCCACTCATTGTGAAATTATTGCCAAGCAGCATGATTTGGCACCAGTCATGGTTAAGTGTTACATAAGAATAATTTGCACTTTCATTTCATGTAATCTCAATTGATTCTTGATAAGCAAAGTTTTGTTTTTATGAACAAGGCTATGAACCGACTGTTATTCTGCATTTTTTGGCATATTCTGAAAAAAAAATTTAGACTTGCCTCCTACACAATAGCAAGCAGTTGATTAATATTGGAGTTATGGTATCCTACTGTACAAAAGAGTTCGTTAATGGACACATTATTATCAGCTGAAAATGACCTCCAAAACAGTCACAGATTGAAACAATTAACTCCTTTGTGATGGCATGTTGCTGAACTAAAAATCCTTCTGCAGATGGGCGTGTCACATATGCATCAGTCCCAAATGTCATTAGCAGCCAAGTAATGCATCGGTGCATTCTTAAACATACACACTCTTTTAGAATTTTTTAAAATCACTAGATGGCACACTGTGTTCACTACAGTAAGCTTATTTGAAATATACATTTGTGACCTTGTGTCCGTGAAGTACTTTTTGATTCTGGCGATTCAGATGTACCAGCAGATGACATAAAGTAAATAAAACCCAGCTGAGGGGTAGTTGGGTTCACATGTTATAAACATTAAACAGTTTTCAATGTTTCGAATTTGTTTTTTCTTTTCTTTCCTATGGAAAGCTTAGGAGTGGAGTTGTTTTATTAAGAATTCCAGTTTGTATTCAGTTCACATCTTCTTTAAATAGCAGACGTGAGTTTTTTGCAGAGATTAAGAGATTTAAACTAATAGTGTGATGTCTAAGAGAAGAAGCTTTTAACAGCAGAACAGTACATTTGAATTGTAAAGCCCATGAATGATTATTTTGACACCAAAAACTCTAGATTTAAATTACAATAATCATTTCGATATTGAATATCAAAATTTTCTCAAAGACTGAATTGGAAGTTTGTTTTGCTTTCACCTAATGCAGCAGAACAGTGGCTACGCCGTCATGAACTCAATCTGTTAAGTAATTGAAGCTTTATGAATTTACAGGAATTGCAGAAGTGTAAACTTAATTCAAAGTAATGAAAATGAAATTGATTTTTCTCATTACTTTTTCGATAATCTAATGAACATAATAGCTGAAGAAACTAATATCTTCTATAAACAAAAGATGAGTGAAAATCCCTCTTCATCCAAAATCAACATACTTCTCTACCATAAAAATACAGATAACAGTTCACTTGCCTATGCTGAAATTCCCACTTCAGTTTTACTCTGAGAGGGACTTCAATTCTAGTTTTAATACACCAAGTAGCTTACCATTTTGGACAGGACTTCTCTGGAATCAGCTAGACTGGCCTGTATTTAAATATCAATAATCACCACCTGCTACTTTCTCGCGGTTCCATCTTCCAGCATCCTCCCCTCCATCAAACCTGAGTCCAGACTCGGAGAACTCTTCAGTTCCAATTAACTTTAGTATACTCATGTGCTCGTCTCAAAAATTTATGTAAGCATATGGAGGGAACAAGCTATGTGACTAAGTCAGAAGTATTAGAAAACATGCAAATTAAGAAACCAACTTGTTAATTAAAAATAAACTCAATTACCACAACTGTAAGTTTATCATGTAAAGAACGATTTTTTTTTCCCTTTTTCTTTGTCTTCTGACCTTAACAAAGCTTCTTCTTCTTCTTCCCCCCCCCTTGTATGCTCCATTCTGCCCTCATTCAATGATCTTAACACATTTCTACAGTGCAATCTACAATTAGTAATTTGTTTAAAAACATTTTATCAAGTTTATAAAACAACTTTTGCTTTGTCTCCAAATTCTGTATATCATGTGATTTATGATAGAATAGAAAATTAAAAGGAAGATTAAGATTCGGTAATAGGGGCTGCAACTAATAAAGTAGTGAAAGAACTTCCAAGTTTTATTTCCTTGCTAGAAGCTACAGATGGAGGACAAAATAATGCAAACACCTGTGAAAAAGTATGACGTATTTCACACCTGCAACAGAAGTCACCTGCGTTGCATACTTCGATCGAATGGCCTGTGAGAAGTTGAAATGTCAGACCTGTCAGAGTTCCAAAGAGGAATGATAGTTGCAGTGAAAGAGGGTAAGACGACGTCTTCGAAGCACAACGGTGGGCGAAAGTCAAAGCTGGCTGATAGGGAAAGATGGATCTTGAAGCGCATAGTATCCCGAAAGCATAAGTAATTGTTATCTGAGATAACATCCAAAATGAAGTCATCTCCAGTACCCCGTTTCAGCAAAAACTGTCAAAAGGGAACTTCATGTTGCGAATATTTATGGCAGAGTGGGAATTCGTAAACCCATGGTAAAAGCAACTAATTCTTTCAAGCAACGCCAATGGTGCAGAAATCACAAAAGTTGATTTCCACGGCAGTGACAACAGGTAATATGGTCAGATGAATCATCATTCACCCTATTTCAGATGACCGGACGCATTTATGTACGGAGAACACCCAAAGAAGCGTTTCATCCTGACTACCTCATGCAGATTGTGAAGCATGAGGGTGGCACGATTATGGTATGGGGTGCGATATCTTGGTGCGGTCTTGAACCACTTGTTATTCTGCATGAGAGGATCATATCCAATCACTATCTAAGCATTCTAGGAGATTTTGTCCATCCTTTTGTCCAGACTGTATTCCCTGCGAAGCAACCGCTTTTTCAAGACGACACTGCTAGGTGTATTCAAGAATGGTTCGAAGAGCATGACGATGCAATTGAACATCTCGCTTCGCCCCTCAGTCTCCAGACTTGAATATTATTGAACATTTATGGACATATTTGGAGTCCAAACTTCATTCCTGATTTCCACCTCCATCCGGACTTTCGGAATTAGAGACCGCTCTGCAGGAGAAATGGCTTACTATTCTTTTAAATATTGTCCATGACGTTTATGCATCTTTCCCACGTCGCATACAATCTGCACTTCAGTCAAAGGGTGGTCTAACCCCCTATTAATAAAGATTTTCCATTATTTCACAGGTGTTCCTATTATTTTGTCTTCCATCTGTATGTTTAGATAGAGATTTAAGTAAGTTTCTTACAATATTTCATCAAGATGAGTGAAATATTTTATTTTGCATTTATATTTTAATTAAAATTTTTTCAGAATCTTCTTGATTTCCTGTATTTATGATTATACAATACAAAGTACGAAATCCAGACTCGTCGGGACTTCAGCGATTCCGGATTTTTCCAGGTATTAGATCATCAAGTTAAATCTAATAAAATGGCATGTAGAAATTATAAAATTAAAAATATGAAATCGTGATTTATGAAATAATGAAGTATTTATGATCTAAAGGGTATCAAAATTTAGGGAAAAAAAAACTTAATATTTATTTGTTTACCTTACTAAACATTTCTTTCAATGTAATTTTTTTTTTTTTTTTTTTTTTTTTTTTTGTGCTAATACTTTTTCTTTAATTCTGTAGACAAACATCATCTCTTGTTCAGTTACATCGAAGTCCTGTAACTGCTGTTTCGAGAATTCTGACTAACTTGTGAATCAAAATTTTTTCGTTTTCAGTGACCTCTTTGTCACTTTCTTCATTATCGGTAGCGGTATTTTCTGGATCTAGAACCATACTACAGATTTCGTCATCCATTAACTGATTGATGATTGAGGAGCATTGTTATCTCAATGAAAAATTTCTTTTATATAATTTTCATTTATTACCGCTTCTCCACATTTCTTTACAAAATCTGGTAAATGTAAATTTCACCTTTGTTATGCAATATCCGAAAACCTTTAAAATTAGTGGCTATCCTAGTGGCTATTAGTGATTTAGCGATACTTCACTATACATATATGATTATACATCATGAGCTTGGCAACCAACGACAGGTTGTTCCGTTAAATTTTATCTTGCTTCTATCATGCACTGAGACAATTAAGCCTGAATTGTATTAGTTAATTTATTTATTATACTTATGTCTATTTCTTGCACATGCTTAAGGCTTATCAGTGTTTTGAATAAATAAATTCCCACATATACTTAAGCCTTATTGAGTGCTGGAGCTATATATCTTACCGCCTGATGCAGTCTTTGTGGGTCGTAAATTCTGTAACTCGGTGCGGCCATACGAGCCCTCGTGGTGGTTCTGGGTTTATGCAGGCCCGCACCGACAACAGGTGCAAGATCGTGCGGTACACGACGGTGCTGAGTGAAAAAGGCACTGGGCAATCACTAGAACAAGCAGTCCGTCTCGTTGCCTGTCTGAACAGGAAAATTTTTGTCTTATTTAAACGGCCCTCTGGGCATCGACTCAGGTAAAACCTGGAAAGCTATTGATTAGGATTTGTACCTAGGCAGTCTCGGCCATGGGTGCTTAAACGGTGCCATGGGTGCCGCAGAACTGGAGTCATCACTGGCGATGGTTGTTTCAGGCTCGGCAGGGAGCATATGATATTGTCTTGTACGTTCCATTGGTTGTGATGGAGCTATACAGTCAGATATTCATGGTTGTCCGTAGCGGAACGACCCCGTCCACAGAGTTGGCGAATTCAGCAAGTCTTTAAACTGCTTGAGGTTTTCAATGGGAGCCTAAAGCCTCAAAACTTCGCAT